TCATTCTGGCTGTCACTCTGTGACTGCTTCGATGTATTAGATAGATCGCCTAGAAAGAAAAAAAAAGAGAAAAAGAGGGGAAAAAGGAAGAAGAAAAAAAAAGAAAAAAGGGGGGGCTCTCTGCTCGCTTTAATCTGCAGACCACTTGCTCAGCAATAGAGGGCCTCTGGGCGACTCAGCCTCAGCTTTTGGGGGGAAGGCGTCATTCACCAACCTCCCTCTGGACTTGAAGTAAGCTTCCCACAATTAGCTTCTGTGTGCTCTGGAACCGTGTTCACCACCAAAAATCCCCACAGGTTGTTGCGGCTGTCTGCTGCTGCAAAAACCCTCTGTGGCCTACGGAGGAAGAGGCCAGGCACCAGGGGCTCAGGGTGCCCCGGGCAACACAGCTCTAGATGGGCAGGGTGGGCACCCAACACAACACAGGATGTGGTCAGTGGCCCCCACCAAGTCAGAGCAGCATGCACTCCTGCATTGGCAACCAGCCCGCACAAACTCGCCAGGAAAGCCCTGGCCGAATCACACAGGTGCACAGCTCACGGCCCTACACTCCCAGGAAAACTCCCAGTCTCAGCCTGTCCCAGTCAGCTGCTCGCAGATCAGGCCGAACAGCCCTACAGCCAATCACCACCCAGGCAACTCTGCACGGGCAGTGCGGAGATTGGGGACCTAAGGCGAGTCGCGCACTCCCGGGTCTCAATAAGCATCCTGTTGGAGTCGGAGCACACCTGCCAGGCGCTTCCCTGGCTATGCAGCACAAGCAGTACGGAGGATGGGGAATGCAAGGCCACATGCGCGTGCACGCATGCACACACACACACACACACACACACACACACACACACACACTCACTCTCCTACGCCAATTCCAGCAGACCAATGTGGTCCTGGACCTGAGCCTCTGTGGGAGGGCCCAGCCCTGAAAAGATGGCACCCTCCTGTGCACTACTCATGTGCAAGTTCCATACCAGGGGAACAATGGTCCCAAAACCTCCAGCTCCCGCACCAAAGGTATTCAGTTCAGTCCTTCCTGCAGGCTCCTGGGCCCCACTAACAAAGTTACTCCCTCCACCAGGAACTGGGTGAGTGCTCAACAGTGAGCGAGTCAGTTTGCCGGCTCTACTGGTTCTCCAGTGCCCTCAGCCTCACCGAGTTGAGCAAAGAGTGTCCTCACTAATTTCTACTTCCAGCTATCGTAGAACTCCTCTTTCAGGCAAAGTAACTCTGGGCTGGTGAGCGTGGTGTGGGGCTGGAGGGTCTCTCACCCAGTCGGAGAAGCCTCTCCACTACTGAGGTGTCCCTCACGGGCTTCGCACTCTCTTGCCTCCGCCCGTCCTCTTTAAGTCCTTTGTTTAGAGGTTCTGCTCATCTAGTGTCCAGGGAACTTCCGAGGTTGAATATCTTATAAATTATTTGTAATTTTGGTGTGATCCTGGGAGGCAGTTGGCACAGTGTCTGTCTATTCTGCCGTCTAGAGACTCTGTGTGTCTTGAAGGAGACCCTTATCTCCTGCAGCTACAGGGCTGAGATGGCTAATAGTCAGACCCAGATTCTCATCCTGCAGATGGCTGAATTACAGTGCAAGTTGAAGTCCTAGCTTCATAGTTTGTTTCCTGTTAAAGTGAGGGCATTGATCAGGAAGGAATGGGACCCTGAAAGCTGGAATGGGGACATGTGGGAAGACCTTATTGAAGCTGAATATATTGAGCCCCTAAATTCAGGTCAGTCTTCTTTGCCATTGGTACCAGCCTCTGCACCCCAGCATAAGGGGATTAACCCTGCACTGCCTGAGGAATCTGTACCAGTCTCCCATGGGGCAGTTTCCATGTAAAACGATACTGAATCTGCTCAGGACCCACAGACCACCCATCTCTGCCTCTAGACCTATAACTAGATTCAAATCCCAGCAGGCCCCTAAAAATGAGGTACAAACTATGACCCATGAGGAGGCTACATTCCAAAAGAAGTACTGGTGTTTTCTAATTTACACAGACAGAGATCTGGAGAACATGTGTGGGGTGGATAGGAAGGAGGTGGAGTAATGGCAGAAGGAATGCAAAGTTGGGTCAGGCTGAATTTAGTGATATGGGCTCACTAAGCAGAGATTCTGCATTTAATGTTACAGCTCAGAGAGGTAGAAAGGGCTCTAATTGTTTGGTTGTTTGGCTAAACCATGAACCAAAAGGTGGTTCACAGTGAGCAAACTGGAAATTCTGTACCTGCCTTAGTTTGATTGTAGAGAAAGGGACTAGAAGGCTTAGGGAGATTAGAATGTTAGAGTGGATTTGTCATTTAAGACTTACTCATTCACCCTAGGCATGTCAGAAGACATGCATATAAGTGGACCTGTGCAGTTCAAACCTGTGTTGTTCTAGGATCAATTGTATATAAGTTATGAAATATCAAGGGGAGTAAGAAGAGTTAAACATCACTTAGGGACTTTACCTCCTCTTCTGGGGAAGACGTTAACACATTTTCAGTTTTATGCAGGATAGTTGTGTCATGTAAGGTGGAAGTATGACCTTGTTATTGTCTTTATTGAGAGATTAAATATGGTTTAAGGAGATGCATATGGGTGCCAAGTTGACAAGACGTGAACTCGTGATGGTTAATTTATTGTGTCTACTCAATTAGCCATGGGGTGCCCAGATATTTGGTCAAACATTATTCTGGATGTGTGAAGGTGAGAATAACATTTGAATTGTGAGACTGAGTAAAGCAGATCGTCCTCTGTGATGTAGATGGGCCTCATCCAATCAGTTGAAGGCCTGAAGAGAACAAAAAGGCTGACCCTCCCAAGAGTAACAGGGAACTTCTGCCTGACTGCCTTGAACTAGGACATTGGTCTTTTCCTGCTTTCGGACTTGAACTGAATCATTGGCTCTTTTTGGATCTTGAGCTTTAGTTCTGGTACCATGGGCTCTCCTGGTTCTCATGCCTTTAGACTCAGACTGAAACCATACCATCAGCCCCTATGTGTCCCCAGCTTGTCAATTTCAGATCTTGGGACTTCTCATCCTCCATTATCATGTGAGCCAATTTAATTTTTTACACACACACACACACACACACACACACACACACACGAGGTTGGACAATTAAGTTCGCGAACTCATCCTAGAAAAAGTGCTACATACCTCACTGCTGAATATCACCACAGTCACCTTCGAAGTACTCTGTTTGGGAAGCTATGCACTGACACCAGCGCTTAGACCACCCTTCAAAGCAATTTTGGAACTCTTTTTCTGGAATGGCCATCAGAGCTGTCATCATATTACTCTTGATGTCCTGAAGGTCATCAAAATGTCTTCCTTTCAATATTTTCTTTATCTTTGGGGTAAAGAAAGAAGTCATTGGGGGCCAGATCTGGTGAGTAGGGAGGGTGTTCCAATACAGTTATTTGTTTACTGGCAAAAAAGTCCCTCATAGACATTGTGATGCAAGAGCCATGAGTTGTTGGTGAAAAGTTCAGGTCTTCTAACTTTTTCATGCAGCCTTTTCAGCACTTCCAAGTAGCAAACTTGGATAACTGTTTGTCCAGTTGGTACAAATTCATAATGAATAATCCCTCTAATATCAAAAAAGATTAGCAACATGGTTACAACAAGTTTGCAAACTTAATTGTCAGACTATATATAGATCTAGATCCAGATAGATAGATAGATAGATAGATAGATAGAGGTATTCCATCTCTCTGGAGAACCCTGAATAATATAGTAAGCAATCATATCTGCAAATGATGAAAGTTGTGTATTTTTTTTTAATTTATTTTTTTTATTGGGGAATTGGGGAGATGGGAACAGTGCTGGGGAATTGGGGGAAGGGGAACAGACAAGTTGCTGTCATTTTTTTCTTCAGTCTAGTTGTGGAGGACGTTGCTTCACTTGCCCAAGTTGGCACCATCATTGCGCTCTTCCCAGGTGAGGCACATCAGTCGCCGGCTTCTGGACGGCTGCTCACTGCAGCTGCTGGCCGCTCACCCTGGCTGCTCGCTACATACGGTAGCCCATGGCAACCCACTGCCACAGGGGCTGCAGCCTACACCGTCGCCGTTGCCAGCGACTCACAGCAGCCCAGTGTCACTGGCCCTCATATGTGGGATCTGAACCGGGGCCCTCTGGCGTCCCAAGCTAGTTCTTAACCATCGTGCCACTCGGCCGGCCCAGAAAGTTGTGTATTTTTAAATTCAGTTACCATGCTTATTTTTTTTCTTGCACTGACTACTGCCCCCTAGAGGGAATGATAATTGGAATTATTGTCTTGTTCTGATTTTAAAGGAAATACTTGAAATGACTCATCACTGAATATAATATTTTCTGTAGGCTTTTGGTAGATAACTTTATCAGGTTAAAGAAGATCCCTAGATTGCTATGTTTCTAAAATCATGAGTGGATATTGGATGTTATCAATGTTTTTTTCTCCTCCATCCATTTAGATAATCATTTTTTTCCCTTTAATCTTTTAATGCAGTGAATTACATTAATAAATTTTCTAAGTCATTAATCTACTAAAGTGCATTTCTGGGACAAACCAGACTTGATTATGATGCTTGTATGTATTTCAGTTTGCAAATGTTTTACCTTGATATTTGGATCTATGCTTCTTCATTTGGCTATAAATTTTATTTCTTTTCCTAGCTATGTGTTTGGCCTCATTAATGCATTGCTCAATTTTTTTTCTATTCTGAATTTTTTTGTGAAGAAATATGTTGTGCTGCAGCACATACTTCTGTATTGTGGATTAGTTCAGTTTTTATTTATTTATTTATTTATTTATTTATTTTAAAAGCAAGATATATTTTTGAAAGCTCATGCCTACAATAATTACACAGTCATGGAACATGGAAATGAAGTTGCTGAATCAAAAGGCACCCGCAGAAGTTCAAGAGGAGAGAGAACAGAACAGTTCTTTTTTGGTTTGTTTTGTTTCCAGCACAGGAGGAAAGGGAAAGAGGTGTGTTACAATTACTTTTCAGGGGAAGGTTTCTGTCAGTTGAAGCAGTGAACGTTGGCTTCTTTCCTGCTGGTCCAAAGCAGTCTTTTCTGTCATTGGCCTCTGAGGATGTCCTCAGTCTTCTGCTGTGTAGAGGTGATACATCAAGGCTACGACCAGTGCTGAGATGGCGGGAATCACCCAGTTGGTCCACCAGCTGGAATTAGAGTCCACAGTAGTAATAAGAGTTTCCGCAGGCTTGGTTATCTTTGATCTGTCATCTGGATGCAGCTCGCCAATGATGTACGTTTTGGACAATTCTCTAGCATCCGTCGAGTGCCCGACATCCTCAAAGTTTTCAGTAGCATCACCTCCAGCCTGTTCCTGTAAGACTTCTTCCCCACCAGAATGCTCCTCCAAAAATTTAGTCAAATCGTACACCTTGTGGTGCAGGATCAGCCAGGTGCTCTTGCTGTGGTTGTGCTTCTGTATCTCTTCCAGGGTGTAGTACTTGACTGTCTTATCCGACTGCTCCGCCATTTTGAAACGCGGCGAGCCTCAGGCCCTGCAGACACCAGCCGAACCAGGAGAAGCACAGCGCGCGTCTCAGTGAGCCAGGCCTGGGACATTCCCCGCCTAGTTCAGTTTTATGTGGGAGGTTTCTTGGTATAAGATTTTCTCCCAACACAGCAACATTTTGCACTCCAATTAAAAGGGTCTTCATGCAGATAAACCCACACAACTGAGAGCAGTACAACTGGAGAAAATAGGACTGTTCCTGATACCCCTTCGGCTCTCACAATCTCTCTCTTAGCTCAGTGTGGCCATCTTCTCTTACTCTGAAACACTTTGGTGTGGTCTTCTTAACTCAGTGGCATCAACCTTTCATCACACATTCTTACTTTAAGGTACTTTCACTTTTCTTAAGAGGTGAAGTTCTTTCTCTGTCTCTCTCGTGTGTGTATTTATATATCTAATAACTTACCATGTCTTTTTAACTATGCTGTTATTTTTCATTAGGATGTGGTTTTTGTTAGTGTTCTGGTTCCAAACCTGCTATGGTTTGAGTGGTCTGTTCAAACGCTATTCCTCCCATAATTCCAATTATTTTTTGTTGGCATTTTTACTCAACACAAAATTTTCTGGGATACATATATTTACTGTCCTCCAGCAGAAACACCTGTGTTCATTCCTTGATTAATTTGGGCCACTTCTCTGTACCTGGAGACTCCACTTGCTGTCGTCCCCTCTGCTTGGTAGATGTCAACATTGCTTTAACACACATTATATTATACCAATTTACTCTCCTACTGGTAGTGTATAAGATGGACTATTATTCCCCATCTGCATTAACACATGAAATTTTCAGTCACTAGTGGACTTCCCTGCTCATTGTGTTTGTAGTTTAAATTTTCTAATTTTTAAAGAGATTGTATATCTTTTCATATAATTATTGATATTTTGATATCCTCTTTTGTGAAATGACCAATCAAAATTTTGTCCATATTTATAATGTGTAATTTTTCTTTTTATTATTGATTCATAGAAGATATGGATTCTGTCCACATTCCAGATACTAGTTCTTTGTTGGTTATATGGGCTATAAATATCTTCTCCCACTCTGTGGCTTGCCTTTTCCCTCTTTTTCTGTTGTCTTTTCCTCTTGTTTTGTTTTCTAGAGGAAATAATGTAATGAACCCCCTAAACCTATCATCTAGCTTTGATAATCATCAACACTTCATCCTTATGTTGTCTTGTGATAAAGTTTTTTAACTTTCAAGTTGTCAAATTATAGTTCTTTTCTTTTATTGTTAGTGTTTTGGGTTCATTCGAATATACCTTTCCCTGAAATCATTAAATACTCTCATATACAATCTTTAACCTGCTTTATTACTTTGCATTCCCCATTTAGGTCAATAATGCTTCTGGATTTGATTTTGGCATTTGGAATGAGGTAGGGTTCAGATTCTGTTCATTTTTATATGAACAACCAATTTTCCCACATCATTTATTGAAAAGATTGTCTTTTATCTACCGCAGTGTCACTGTTCCCCTCCCCACCTCAGGTTTGCAGTGGCCTCCAGCAGGCCCTCCAGATCTCAATTTGGGTCTATTAGTTTGGGTTCCTGACCTAAGTTAATACTGAGAATGGGAATCCCACTCACACAACCCACCCGTGGCTTGTTTCCATTCCTGCTATGACCCTGAGCCTGGCTCCAGGGTTGTCTGTGAATATTTTCATGCCACATCAGCAGATGAATAGTTACAACAGAGACAATATGGCCTGCAAAGCCTAAAACATTTACTGTCTGGCTTGTATTAATTTTTTATTGTTGCTGTAACAAATTGCCACAAACTCAGTTATTTAAAACAACACAGGGCCAGCTGAGTGGCTCAGTTGGTTAAGAGTTAGCTTAAGAGCGTGAGCTCTTAGCAACAGGGGCGCGGGTTCAATTCCCACATGGCCCAGTGAGCTGCACCCGAGCTGAGCTGCCACTGAGCTGCCAACAGGTGGCAGGATGGCTCAGCTGGTGAGCGCATGTGCTCCTAACAACAAGACTGCATGTTCGATGGTAGGCTATGCCCACCCGCAACTAAGACTGAACTCAGCCCCTTGAGCTGAGCTGCCACCCAGATGGCTCAGTGGATAGAGCGTGTGCTCTTAACAACTAGGCTGCTGGTTTGACTCCCGCTTGGAATGGTGGCTACGCCTACCCACAACTAAGATTGTAACACAGCACCTTGAGCTTAGAGGCCACGAGCTGCTGACTGGCGCCCTCCACAACTAAGACTGAAGAACAACAACTTGGCTGGTCCCCTTCACCAATTCCCCAACTCTGTTTCTCTCCCCCAATTTCCCAATTAAAAAATAATGAAATTGAAAAAAAGCACACACACAAATTTATCCTCTTACAAAGTTCTGAAATTAGCTTCTCTGGGTTGAAATTAAGGTGGCGGCAGGACTGTGCTCCCTTACGAGGCTCTAGGGGAGAATCCATCCCCCACCTGGTTCAGGTTTTAGAGCCTCATTCCTTGACTCGTGACTCCTTTCTGCATCTTCAAAGCCAGCACTTAGCATCTTCAATCTCCCCCTGCTTCCATCTTCACATTACCTTCTGTCTTATAAAAACCTTTATGATTACAGGGGACCCACGAGGATAACACAGGATCATCTCTCCATCTCAAAATCCTTCATTTAATCACATTTGCAAAGTCCCATTTACCAAATAAAGTAGCCCCACATGTCCTGGGGGTAGGACTGGAACAGATGTGGGTGGGGGCATTAGTCAGCCTACCCCATGGTCTTTCAAAAAATGTTTTCTGCTATGATCATACCTTGACTCACTGTGTGTTATGGAGACAATTCCATTAAATCTAAGTTTTCTGACCCCCGCTCTACGCTCTATCTGGTATAACTTTCCTAAGATTCATTCTATGGTCTTTTCCACTTTGATTTCTCTAATTTTGAAGAAAATGTGTATTCTGGTCAAAGGTTTCACCATTTAAAAAACCCCAATTAAGCAGAACCTCCCAACTAAGAATTCTATGATCGTTAGTGAATAAAAATTTACAATGACAAGTTTTTCAAATATATATATATATATATTTTTTTTTTTAGCTGAGCCATCCTGCCATCTTTTGGCAGCTCAGTGGCAGCTCAGCCCGGGCTGTGAATCGAACCAGCGACCCTGTTGCTCAGAGCTTGCACTCTTGAGCGAGCTCTTAACCAACTGAGCCACTCGGCCGGCCCCTCAAGTATATTTGACACCTAAAATTACTCATTGCCTTGTGGCAAGTCAGATTAAAACATAGCATTTATAAATGAATCTTTGGTGCATTTAAACATTTGTTTCAAAATTTCTCCATTATCAAAACTGGGAGCCCAAATGTTTATGTTCATATTGATCTTCAAATCAATAAAGATCATACAGACTGATAAAATAAAAACTGACTATTTTTAAGCCTCAGTGCGATGCATTTTGTTCATTTGTCAAGTGGTTGATCAAATTACTAAGGTTTTCCTTTTGAAAATACTCCTTCTTCACTTACATTATGTCATAAACAGGCAAAACTTCACCCTGTGCTATTTAGGAACAGAGACAATATTTTAATACAAGTTCCAAATATTTCCATGTATCACACTCCTATAAGCTTACTTGACCCAAAGTGAACCATCAGGATTTTGCAACAGTTGTTTCCAAATGAACTTCACATTTCAATAACTGCAGTGCTTTGCGTCAGCGGAGAGGAACAGGCCCTACCTGGTCAGGTTGTTCTGGTGGTGCGAGATGCCCCCGTGTAGGTGTGACTGGGACAGACTGAGTTCCCTCTCAGTGCCTGCTCTGACTTCTACTCTCCTCATAACCCCTGCTGTTAGTTATTGTCTCAAAGAAAAGGCCTGGCAGCCATAACAAAAAGCTCACTTGCAAAGTCTTTCTGTGGTGTTATAGGCTGATTTGCGTGTTGAAGTCCTAACCCACGGTACCTCAGAATGTGAACTTATTTGGAGATAGGGTCTTTACATAGGTAATCAAGGTAAAATTAGGTCATTAGGGTGGGCCCAAATCCAGTGTAACTGGTGTCCCTATAAAAAGAGGAGATTGGACTCAGACATGTACAGAGGGAAAATGATGTGGAGACACAGGGAGAAGATGGCTGTCAAAGAGCTAAGGAGAAAGGCCTGAAACAAATTCTTCCCTCACAGCCTCCAGAAGCAGCCAACTCTCTCGACAATTTGATTTCTGACTTCTAGGCTCCAGAACTGTGAAAAAATAAATGTCTGTTGTGTAAGCCCCCAGTCTGTAGTTGACTAACACATGTGGTGAGAGACACCTGCTTCCAAAGGAATTCAGAGGTGGTGACCTTAGGAACCCAAACACCACATGTTCAAAAGAAACAAATTACAATTTTCTATAACTATTTGTTCATTTTCTGTCAAGGGTACATCAACAACAGGTAAAAGTTTAAAGTTATAAAGATCTACACCCACTGGTGTCATTTGTGTAGTTGGAGTCAGCAGGCTTGGTGCCACTATCCCAGCTCAGTTAAGTAATGTTTGTGTCACCCTAGGCAAGTTAGTTCCTTACCTCTCTATGCCCCTCTGTGCCTCAGTTTTTCATCTGTAGTATGTGGATGATGACACCTACTTCACAGGGAGTATTGCAAGAATTAAGGAGATACATGTCACACAATAAGTATGAGCTCTCATTATGCATTGTAATTATTTAATGACTACTCTGGACAGTTCCTGCAAACCCCAGAAGAGAAATATACAGGAATCTAAACACAGTGATTAGAAACATTGGGTTGAAATTTAAAAACAATAGAATTTGCCATATTAAATTTCGCCCTTTACAGATTTGGACTGTGGGCCTAAGAAAGATTTATTTGATGTGAACCCCAAGAAGAAATTTATCTGCTGAGATGGCCTCCCTATGGTCAACCGAGGGCCCAAGTTTCCTGAATAATGAGAGCCTAGTGGCCATTTGCTGACAGGCTCCTCATGTACTCTGTACAGGAAGAACTTCAGTCTGAACTCTGGGCTTCCATCATGC